ACATTTCTTAATTCTTGCATTCTCTTAACTAAACTCTACTAAGCGAAAGAAAATAATAATAATAAATTAGCTAATCAGGCGAAGCCGCAAGCAATTATCATAACTTTTTTTTACGCGAGACACGAACTAACAAAATATGCTAAATTACACATAAAAACATAATTTGTTCAGAGCAGCAAAAAGAAAATGTTGAATTTTTCTTGGCACGCAAAAGCAAAACAAAATTGTGGTGCAAAGTAGTCGTTAGCATTTCAGCATGAGGGGCGAGCGCGCCAAATTCTTTCCCTGAGCAATTTAGCTTCTCATTGTTGGATCATAATTATACCGTCACTAAACGGCGCACTGCGGGCATATCAGGCTACACATACTTACATTTTCAATTGTCACTGATGCAAGGGTCAAACTTTAAATTTGAAGGGCTTCGGAAAATATATATATTGATAATGGATACATTAGTCTGCACACTTTATTAGCTTATGAAAGTACGATAGGCATTGCGAGGTGCGGGTATTTCTCTGCCGTTCATCGTCTGTAATTCAGCTATTCCTTGCGGCACGCTGGTTTGTGATTATTTTTAAAAAGTAAGCACCAAATGCGTTTTGAAAATTAATTATACTAGCACACACACACACATACACGCGGACACACACATACTCACATAGACAAGCAGCTTGCGTGTCAATAAAAATCGCAGCAGTTTTGAAACTATTAAAGGAACGGTATTGAAGCTTTGTGAAAATAGTTAATATAAAATATAACTAAAAAAGTTTCCTGAAATTTAATAACTCTGATGAGTTATTTAAATTATTAATCAGCTACACCCAGTCTATCTCTCTCTCTCTCTTACTCTCATTTAAGGCAGTCTTTTGAATAGATGATTTGTTCGCAATAAATTAGTTAGGATATCAAATAAATTTCGGAAGATATTCCTGTTCAAGGAATTAGATTGGTATAACTCAATTTTGTAATTCCAGTTCAGAAAGTCTTAAGGCTTTACATACATAATACATATATGCTTATTAAATCCTGTTTATCTGCCGAGAAGGACGACTTCACTTATCTGAAGTCGTCTTTTGCTGGCTGGCAGTTGTTTGTCCCACTTCTCCCAAATTCCTAAGCTTCCCTTTTCAAATGGACATTATACAGAGCACATTTAAATGTCAATAAATCATAAACGACAACACGTAAGGGAGATAGAAAGCATGAGAAAGAGAGAAATCGAGGGTGGACAGAGAGAGGGAGAGGTAAACTTTTCACTTTAGACGCCAAAGTTTTGTTTTGTATTTTTAGAAATTGATGTAGGTATATGCTGTAGTATATTTATGTGAAGCTCAAAATGGGGATCATAACAAACATAAAAAGGAAAAAAAGAGAACAAAATCTAGAACAAAATTGTTATTTATGATTTGGATTTTTGGTTGGATTATGCCAAAGAAATTAATCAGCAAAATGTATGCAATAAAAAATGCCACACGCAATTAAAAGAAACGCAATGGCTAAATTAGGCCAGACACACATTAAAAAATAATCAAATAATTAAATGTAAGTAGTGCGCGGCATGTGCCCAGCTGAAAAGGAAAGCCAGTGTGGCCGAGAGATGCCCGCATAAATATATACATATTTACAAGTATATATATGTAGGTATGGCCCATTAAAGTAGCCCATTTTATGTACAAGAATGATGCTTTGGATGGCCATTAAAATTGCTCATAAGGTAAACACGGCGCTGTTTTATTGTTTATTAACGAATTAATGCACAGGCAAAGACACGGGCATTGAGCACCGGGACCGGGCACCGGGCACCGGGCACCAAAGACCGGGCATTGGGCTTGTTGGATGAGTAATTGATCGATTGTATATAGGCAAAGTGTAATTACGAGCGGATCGAGCTAACGTACTGCCAGCCATAAAAGATAGATAGAGACCATTGGCAGCGCTCATAATCCATCTTCATCGATAAAACAAACAATTTGCGCACACATCAATCCATCGACAAGTACATTTCATTGATGTGCATCTATTTTGGGAGCGTACTCGAAATTCGAAATATTTGGCAATCAATTAATTGATTTTCAATATGGGAAATTATTTCATGCATTTTCAATTTCTATTTGTATACTTGAGCGTTTCCTCTACTAAGTGGAAAAAAATGGTTTATTTTCTTTCTCATTTTTTTTCTCTCTCCTGTTTTTCTTCTTCTTTTTTTGTTCATGTTAATTTCATCATTTTTACGGTACGCCGGCAAAATGAGCATGTCATATGACGGCATCTGTCTTTGGCGCTTATTTTTGCTTCATATTCCTAGTCTGAGTGTGTGTGTGCATGTGCGTGTGTGCGTGTGTGCATGTGTGTGTGTGTGTGTATGCAGACATGCCGCTGAAATACTAATTATGTGCGCGATTTAAATAGATTTTTCATTTATTTAGCTAGGCCATCATTTTGGATGAAATGGAAATAAGAAGCAAATGTTTTATGTTGCGCCATTGACGCTGCCCGCCGCAGCATCCACCCCTCCCTACCCGCCTTCCTTCCGTTGCCCTGTGCAACATAAAACACTACACACACTCGCACACTCGCACACAGTGAACACTGAATGGGCATACTTTGCCACTGGCAGTGGATGATAGGCGGATTCTGCATTTTGACAGGCCCACATCATTTCAGCGTTTGCTTGTTTTGAACTGTAGCTGACGTAGCGGAAGTGTTTGCGAGTGGAAAATGCGATACATAATTTTTAATTATTTGTTTTACGCACACTAATAAGGGCAAATGAGGCATAAACATTGCCTAATTATAGCTAACTGACTCCAGCAACTCGAGCCGACTGACTCATAAGTAGTCCAAAAGTTCTTCACTGAATCGCATAATGGACCCTACAAATATGAGCATGCGAGAAGCTAAAGACTTCTCACCTGAATCATAGGAAAATTATAACAAACATAAATAATTTACTTTATGSATTTGCCACTGTAATCTTTAAGCAATCTTACTTACATATATCAGAGCACTAATCGTATTATTTGCTTATTTCTTTCTATCGTTCGCCTTATAAAGTGTACTACTAGGGGTCTACTACTAGGGGTGTGGCAATTTGGGATATACTAAATCTGTCTAATCTGAGGAAATACTTAATCTGAGGAATGCATTGATAACCCGAAATCTATCTATTTATACCCCTAGGAGGTCTGGCGAACTACAATAGATTATATCTTCTCAAAATTGAGACCTAGAAATCTAATAATTTGACAATTTGCATACGGTTATAATAATATAATAATTTCCACAATTTTGAAACGAGCTCTAGACTGCTACTCAGAATTCCAAAAATAAAAAACATAAATTTTATATGCATTTTGGGGGGCGCGGCAAACAGGAAGAAAGTGTACCTTGCTAAGACTTTTTGTTAGAGCTGCCAAATGGAACAAATTTCTTCCTGATTCCTTTACCAAGAAAGACAACCGTTAACCGCTATTAAAAAACATTACTCGTTTTCATATTATATTCTTTTGTTTCCTGATTAATCTTTCGGATCTCTATTCTCTTAAGCATAATATTTTTATGTGTAAAAAAAAAAAAAAAAAAAGTAAATGAATATTCTTTGGGCTTGCTATAAATACGCTTTATTAAGAAAATTTCCATTTTCGTTTATTTCCAGGTAAAAATTTGGTTTCAAAACCGACGCACAAAATGGAAAAAACAGGACAATGTCACAAACAACGAGGCTGCCGAGCATAAATCGTCCAGGCCCACATCCACAGAACAGCAATCCAAAGGCAACAACAACAACAACAACAACAACAGCAACAGCAGCAGCAACAACAACAACAACACTGGCTCTGTTGATGATGGCGGCTGTCAACCTACGTCCATCACGGCTAGCAATATGGAGGCTACACCAAAGAAGGCGTCCAATGGTCAAGGGGATAAATCACGCGGCAATAGCACTAACAACAACAACAGCAGCAACATCAACAGCAACAGCAGCACATTAACACCAACTAAAAGCGGCAGCGGTACTAATGAAAACAAATTGCAAACAAAGCATGCGACGACCAAAATTAAAAAGCAATTGAATGCATTGCTGGAGAAGACCGCAAAAGCCGCAAACAGCCCAGCAGTAGGCAATGGAGCTAATGCTAGCGCCAATGCCAGCGATTCCACACCGATTGCTGGCAATACCAACAACAACAACAACAGCAGCAGCAAATCAGTTGAGAAACGCAATGCGAACAGCAACAACAACAACAACAACAATAGCATTGGTGAGACCTTTCACCACCATCGGCTGCACCAGCATGCCATACCGCTGACTGTGGAGCCGGCGGCGCCATTGGAGCAGACTGAGAAGCTGGAAATCAAACTGGAGGAGTCTCCGGCGTTGAGTTTGCAGCGAGCGGCGGTTGCTGCTGCAGCTGCCCAGGAAAATGGAAGCAGCTCACCCTCGAAGGCATTGCTAGCTGAAATGGACTTTGAGAGCAAGCTGGCCGCCTCCAAGATATCGATTGCCCTGGCCATGGCCAATACGAAGCTGCAGGGCGGCGACGTACAGGAAACAGCCGAAATGAACGAAAGTGAATCGGAGGACGAGGAGACGGCCAGTGAGCCGGGCACATCCACCGAGGCACAAGATTCCCAGGATCCCGATGTGCAAATGGGTTAGGCCGAAAAAAGCCAAAGCCCCCCGCAATCCCCCACAGTTCATGCCCAGCCAGTCAAATTAACTCGTGCCAAAAAGAAAAAAAAATATTGTCGAATATTGCTCAAGCACACGGCCAGCTCTCAGCCAAGATTCGTTTCTATTTAGCAATGATCACTGAATGTCTGTTGTCTGTGTGTGCGTGTGTGTATGTGTGCTTGTTAGTTGTAGGCATTTACACATATTTATGTAATTTATTGAATGTATGTATGCGCTAGATTTAAGTATAGGCTTTGTAAATGTTGCCATTAGAAACGCATTTAAATGTTTAATGTGCAGTTTAAAAAATACAACATAAAATAAATGCAAAATACTATTATAATTGTAATTTGAACTTTCGAAAATTTCATGTGATAAAGTATACGAAAGAGTTAGAAGAGCGACAGGAGAGAGAGAAAGAGCGCGCACTCGCTTCATTAACAGCAAAAACAACAACAACAATTGGTGAATTCATGTTAATTACAAATTTAATTTAACTATACTAACTATTAACTACAAGTGTTTAAGCAAAACCAGTCCTAAGTGTAAATCGCTACTAAATATATATATATTATAGATGGAAAGTATAAAAATACCTACATGTTTATTGTGAGTCTTTGTACAAACAAAACAAAAAAAGAGAGAAGGAAACAAAACAAACAACAAAAAAAACCGAATCTATGACGAGCCTATCAGCAGCCGTTACACATTTTAAATTCAAAGAATAAAATAAACAATTCAGCAAATTAAATCAACTTTCTTTTTATGGCCGTTGGCCGCGATGGCTTTGGCACATTGACCACGCCCTCGGCGGTAATCAAGAACTCGGTAAATGCATTTGGGGTTTCGGGCGAGTAGACGATCTCCAGCTTTCGCACGGTGAGCAGCTGATCCCCCTGCTTGTACTGCTTGGGCACCTTGGAGATGCGCATGCGGGTGCGGCTCAGATTGGCCCATTGCAGTCCCAGACAAGGCACATCCTCCATGCGCGTCTCATCCGTCTCCTCTGTGGCAGTCATTTGGTTGGAGCACACCACGGCACAGTCGTACTTATCCGCATAGCTGAGCAACGCGTGCACCATCCGCCGCATATCCCGGGCACGCTTATCGAAGTCGGTGTACAAGCGGAAGATGGCAGCCACGGAGTCAATTACGATCAGGCCAATGCTGTGCTCCTGCAACAGTTGTGGTAGGCGATTGCTAATGCAATCGAGAAGTGGTTCCTGCAACGTAAAGAATGGCAGATGAAGTTGCTTAAATCTGTATCAAATGTCTTACGCTTTCGTACTGATGCTCGATAAAGATGTTGCCCAAAAAGTTCAGCTTCTCTGCCGGATAGCGTGCCTCAAATGCTTTACTGATTTGCAGTAGACGACGTGACGGAAACGCATCCTCGGTGCAAATGAATGCCACGCCTTTCCCCAAGCCGCCAAGCGTCGCGGGCAGCTGCACGCTTAGCGACAGCTGCAACAGTACCTGAGATTTACCCACACCCGAGTTGCCACAGATTTCAGTTATGCCACGAATCGAAACTCCGCCGCCCGTGCACTGATCAAGTGCAGCACAGCCAAAGGTCACGCGGGACCACTTCAAGCGAGCGGGTATTTTAAATAGGGAGTCCGCTGAGAGCACAGTTATAGCATATCTTTAAAAGTGATAACAATTGGCCTGCCGTCAGTTACCTGACACGGGCGTTTGCTCCAGCCATTTGGCAGCTGCCTCCTTCAAAATGCGCACATCCTCCGGAGTGCAGCTATGAACACAAGAATCCAAGTCACAAGTGCGGGTGTCCATAAACCTAATGCGAGGCGTTGTTAATATTGCCTCGGGCGTCAGCACGTTGACTAGATGGAATCATTAACGGATATCACTTTGAGCTAAATTGTATATGAGATCTTACCCCGCTCTGCAATCTCCTGCAGATGCTTGGGCAACTGCTCTAAAAAGTTCGCCATTTTTTAAGGAAACCCGTGAAGTGTGCTGGCATTTAAATTGGGTGCCTTGCGTGTTACCCGTGAAGTGAGGTGTTTCAACACCTATTAAATTGTCACCTTGGCAGCGAGTAATTATTGATTCAACAAAAAACCTATCCACACAGAATTAGTAAACTGCGGCAGTTCATCATAGGAGGAAGAAGTGCAAGGAGATTTCAGTGCTATAACAATTAAAAATTGACTAAAAATATGCATAGGCATCTCTCTCACGAAACCAAAGAGAAGGCCATCTAAAATAAGCAATATATCAGACACTAATTGTTGTATGTTTTACATAATTCCTTCATTTTTAATCATTTAATTTGCACAAACTTCAGATAAACACACAAACACGATCGATAATTCGATAGTTCTGGAGCAACACTGCCCGATCGCTTGCGCCTGATGGAATTTGGATGTTATTGTTGTTGTTAGAGCGAGCACTTGTAGAAGCAGTTAATTAACTGATAATAAGAAACTAAAGATGCACTCTAATGGGGACGTGGTTTCGACAGCTCGGCCAGAGCTCTAGCCTCAGCCTCAGCACTGCGCTTCTTCTCTTCGGCTAATTTGGCATCACGAACGGCCTTCTGTTGAGCTTCGATTTCGCGCACCTTCGCCTCCTTCTTGGAGAGTCGGCTTTGGTGAGCAGCGCCATAGGCAATACCCACAACCAGCAAGGACCATCTTCCGAGCTTGATAAGCGGCGAGACACGAACTGGAGCCTGAGACATAGCTGGTTAGTTATGTAATGTGAAGACCAATAGCTGCAAGAAAAACGAATATGTCAGTTCTTTGTTTGATACCAACTATATATTAAGTTGTACATAATGCATACGATAAGTAATAAATCGCAGAATCTATTAAATAAAATTATATTTACCAATAATTATGCGAATTCAAGTCCACTACAATAGTAGTATAACCTTAAAGCAGCTGTCAGACTGACAAAACCACAATCGATATGCAAAATATCGATATTTCCAGTACTGTAAAATTCTTTATTTTTGCTTAAATTTAAAAAACAAATATATTCAAAAGTATGTGTTTAAGATTATACAATTCACAATTAAATTCGTTTTAAAAATAGAATATAAATCTAGTATCGTATAAATATAATATAGCTTTACTGAGCCAACTACAACTATTTCTTTCATGTATTTGTAAATACTTGTATTTTGTATTTTAAATACTTATAAAATATATTAAAATTGTTATATCTAAATGCTCTTTTTTATAAACATTATATGTGTCCGTTACTTTTAGTATTTTGTATTTGCAACGGTGACTCGCCACCTGTAATCACTCGTTACATGTCACACATCTCTAAGTGTGAATGTCAGAACTAAGCCTGGAAAAAATTTGTTTTGTTGAAAACATGGCGAATTTGAAACATAAAACCGTTTGAGCTATATATTTTAGGCCAAAATCGTTGCGCAACTGACACTTAAATAAAATACTACAAGCCCAACGTCCACGCGTGTGCGTAAAGTAAAGTTCACTAAGAAAATTCCAGCACAGACCTTGAGTGGGCTCACAAACATACTCACACACACAAACACATTCACGCAAGAACCAATACACATACGCTGATAAACGGGTTGAAAACGTCACAACGACCAGCACGACAGTTGCTGAAGTGTTTGCAGCTGCTGTTAGTTAAATTAGCACAACAAAAACAACGAGTGCGAAATTGGAACAAAGGACTCACAAAATGGTAAATGTGCCGCCGCTCTTGTGCAGCACTCCTCCCCCGATCGACTTTGGTGAGGACGACGATGACTCGGGGCTACAGTCAACGCTGCAGCTGGAAGACGGCGAAGCTGACGAATACTCTGAGTATGGCTTAGTCACCGACACACACACATCGTTCAATGCGAAAGGTAATTGTTTTTATAGGTAATTGCTTTTTGTGTTTATTAAAATAGCAATGTTGTCCTTGCAGTGTCCGAATTGCCAGAATTGCCCATATCAGCAGAGTACATTGCTCAGTCCCAACCGCCAGAACTGAGCATTGGACCTGCTAAGACAGAAAAGGCCACAGTGGAGGCTTTCAATTATCAAGTGAAAGCAGCTGACACTGAAATACCTGAAGGGCAGCAAATGTCACCAAAGCACATTGATGTTCTGGCGCCTATAGCTGAGTTAGCTGTTGAAGTAGAGCAGCCACCGGAGGTGGACGATGAGGAAGAGGAGGCTAACACCAATGACAATGTGCCCTCGCTCAAACTGGACAGTCTCAGCCTATACTCCAGCGGCAGTGCTACGCCACCAAGCACCTTGTCACCCGTAGCCGACGAGCAAACAACCAAAGCACCCCCAGTATGTCACCAGGTAATACTGGAAGATGTCACCGACGACAGCGACGACGAGTGTTCGCCAAAGAAACCCAAAGAACTATTTATACCTGAAGGCGCGCCTGACTTTTTTGCCATAGAGATTATAGCGACGCCCACGCAACAAGCGTCTGCAATGAATAATCAATTGCCTGAAGCAAAGCCTGAACCCGAAGTTATTTCTACGTGCAAAACAAACGACGTAGCAGATTCTAATGAAGTACTGCCGCAGGAGCTAAACGGAGAAGTCGATGGGGCTAAGTCAGAAGAGGCGCTAAGCGAGGACGACGACTTTGGCGATTTTGCGGACTTCTCTGCCGCGCCTGCAGTTGTAGAAACCGAACAGGTTGCCAATCAAGACGATGGTTTTGACGATTTTCAGGACTTTGTAACGCCTGCAACGACGACTGTGCCAACTCCTGAAGACGATTCTGATGACGACTTCGGCGACTTTGCTGAGCCCACATTTGAGTCCGCTCCGCCTACAGTGGCGGCCGCTCTACCGCAACCCCCGCCGCCAGCTGCTGCGCACTTGAGCATCGACGAGCGAGTCAAGCCTGTGCTGGAGATTATGTTCCCTAAGGTAGAGTCCAACTGTGCGCAATCTGCAGGTAACCAAAGACCCCTGGCTGAGGCGCAAACATTACACTTCGGTGCCATTGAACAGGCACACGCTCTAAACTATCAGTGGTCCAGTTCGGAGATGCGTCACTCCCTTGTGCGCTCACTGGCCATCGATTCGCGTAATATTGTAAGTGCACATGGATTAAACTTGTATATTCTTTTACTAAAAATGGTTTGATATTCCCAGCTCTTCGGCGACAAGTGGAACGCATCAATGCCACGCTTTGCAGCGAATTTAAGCTTTGATCCTCTCAAACCGCTCAAGCCACAAGCAGCGCCCGGGCCGAACTTCTCGCTGCTGCCCGCCAGCAACAACAGCTCTTCTCAGCCACCACTTCAGGGTAAGTTCCTGGACTCGTTACACGCCGCAAAGAACTTAGTTACTGCAAATTAACCGCTACACACGATTCTCGTAACCAAAATTTCCACCGCCTCTCGCTCGCTCTTTCCTGAGACGTTTCGTTTGATCCACACGCTTTTCGCTTCCAAACTGAACAAACAATTGGTCTGCCTTCTATTGGCTGCTCTATATTCTCGTTTTCTTGATTTCCATTCGTTTTCTATATCCTACTACAAAACGTACTTGCAAATTATGGTCACTTCGGTAGTCCGAAGTTGTGATGCCCTTGCAGATATATGTATGTATGTATGTTTGTGTGTATGTATATGCATAAAGTATTGCTGATACAGCTATAAACACGTAGGAGTATTATTAATACTACTATTAATATGCGAAATATAATTATTCTTCGAATATCTGTCAAAACTTTACGTTTGATCTTTTTTGTTTAATTAAATTATTTAATTTATATGAATACTGCTAAAAGGTAAATGTTATATTGTTAACAAAATTTTGCTAATTTAATTATTCAATAGTTAATAATTTAAATTTTTAATTGATTTAAAATATTACACAAATCCGCTAAAACTACGTTTTTATAGTTTTAAAAATATTTGTCATATCGAGCTAAACATAATCTTCTGCAAGGGTATTATATAGCAAAATACCGTTACTTTCACTTGATTCTTGTGTCCACCATTTATGTACTCAAATTTATCCTTACGATAAATTGTATTTAGAATCACATGTACAGACTTTACAATTGGAACAACAACAACAACTAGACCAAGTAATGATGGTGGCTAATGCTGATAAAATAAATCTTGTTACCTCTAACTACTCCCACAACAACAACAACAACAACAATACTCACGATGCCTTGGATGCGCAACTGCCATTAATGGAACTGCTTAATGATAATAATGAAAATATGACAATCAACTACAACAACAACAACAATGACAATGCTAATGCCAATGCCAATTTTCTCACACATTTTGCCACCATCTGCAATAATAACAATCATGCAATAACAACCACTACAACAACAACAACAACAAACACTAATTTTACTGCTCACTGCGCCTTGCTGGATCTTAGTAAGTTTCGTTGGCTCCGTGCTTCGTGTTGTAGTTGTGTATACTGTTTTATATACTCTCTTTTAAGTCTATGCAACTCCAACTATTTCTCCTCAGTTCTTGTTACCTTTCGCTGCCAAAACACAACCGAACCCCAGAACCTTCCAAAACTGCACTAGTTAATCCAGTATCTTAGTACTCATGTTGTCCATTTGTATCTAACCAAAAGCCCTTGCTGATGCCCCAATATTAATCTGAATTTTTACTGTGCTTCACAGGACTTGAAGCAGCAGCAGCAGCCACCGCCGCCGCAGCAACATCGCAGAGCCAGACTAAAGCGCAGCCTAGCTCGGCTGATGGGCAAGTCGCAGGCAGCGCCGACGAGGCAACTGCCGTTGTGTCCGCCACCTGTCCTGATGACGGCCCAGCAGCAGCATCAATATTTGCTGCTGCAGCAGCAACAGCACCGCTATCGCCTGCTCTATCAACAGACGGCCATGGCAACCACTTCGACGACATTGAGCAGCTCCCTCAGCAGCAACAGCAGCAGCAGCAGCAACTTGATCTAAGAGGGGAGTCACTTTTGCCATCACCTTCACCATCACCGCCACCGGCGCTAGCAACCGCTGTAAACAGCCAGCAGTTGCATGAGATCACCAGCTGCAACAGCACCAGCAGCAGCATCAACAACAACAACAATAGCTTTTCGTTGCCACTCAAAGAGACGCATATTTACACGCCCTCCAAATCGGACACGGTGGTGGCCAAGACCACAACACTGGCGCCCATTGATTTCGACTACGAGATTGCCTCGGCGGGAATTATTATAGATGAGACGGTTGTCAAGAAGGAATATCGCGATGTGGAGTACAAGCCGCCCTTTGGCCTCGATTCGCCAACGAAGCCGAGCAGCGCGGGCAAACCTGCAGCAGAGGATGACGATTTCAGTGACTTTCAGTCAGTGCCCGCCGTCAAGAGCGTCGCCCAGCTGCAGCCACCGCGCAACGGAACGCCGACGTTCGGTGAGCAAATGATACTCAGTCCGGCCATACTGCTGCCGCAGTCAATTCCGCTGGCCAAGCCCACCATTGAGTGGGGCGACAATGCGCAGGCCAGCATCAATGCGGATGAGCTGGCGCGCATCGAGGAGCTGTTCTCGCATCAGTACAAGCCGCCCACGATAAGCGCCAGTGTTGCGCAACAGTCGCCGAAGCAACATCAACAACAACAACAGAAGCAACATCAGGAGGACGATGAGTGGTCCGACTTTGTGTCGGTGCCTGTGCAGCAGCAGCAGCAGCAGCAGCAGCAACAGCCCCAGCAAATCAAACACAACAACAACAATGTGCAGAAAGCACGAAAAGCCACGCCCATTGCGGCTGCTGTCCAGAAAGACGACGACTGGTCAGACTTTGTGAGCAGCACGCCGTTGCCAGCACGCGCGGCGCCCCAATTCAATTCGGGCGCGTGGCAAAGCGCCAATTTTTACAATAATCCGCTGAGCCTATATCAGCAGCAGCAGCAGCCACATTCCCACAGCAATCTGGTGCCTAAATATCAAAGCAATAACAGCAGCAGCAACAATAACAACAGCAGCCACAATAATAATATACCACAGCAGATTCACTTGATGCACGACTTCTCAACGGCTCCCACGCCCACAGGCAATGCCGTGTCCTATCAGCATCAGCATCATCAACACCATCAGCAGCAGCTGCAGCAGCAACAGCAGCAGCAGCAACACCACCGGCAACAGTTTCATTTGAGCAATGCAAAGGTGGCGCCACGCATCTCCTTGATACCCGATCTGAGCTTCGTGGCCCCGGCATTGCCTGCCAATGCGGGCGCCTTTATGAGTTCGCTGCCCAAGCCCAGTTTCAGTGCCAAGAAATGACAAAAGCTCCGTAGTGYAAAGCAGCAGCGGCAGCAGCAGCACCATAAGTCGTCCACAATGTTGTTGGGATCGCCGCCGTGTCCATTGGCAACTGAGGCGACCATCCTGACGTAGGCAGTGCGTCAGTCAGTATTATGAATCCGTCTAGATATTTGCTAAATAAGCTTAAAAGATATTGTATTGTAAGAGCGACTGTTGCAACTAGGCTCTTGTTATTGTTAATGTGTGTATTGCTGTTGTTGTTGTCGTTGTTCTTATTGTTGTTAGTCGCGTAGGCGTAGGCGTATAGTCGTAGTCAAAGCAATCCTAATCTGTTCGCGTCGAGAATGAACTGTAGTGCAATATATTTTGTAAAAATGAATTTGAATGTAAAATTTAAAAATCATTTGCAACAGTTGGCCGAAAACTTAAATAACTCAGCAACTAGTTCTAGTTAAAGGTCCACACCTATATACATATATATATATATATATATGAATATTTTATTTGTTTAGACTGTATACTGTATAGCGTTGCATAAAAAGTAGTACGCGATATTACCTCTACATTTAGCTAAGGCAAACGACCTACTTTAGTTTAGTTAACCCGAAATGCTTTTGAATTGATTCAACTCGCTTTCCTATCCAATAAGTTGCCCAGAATATAGTCATAATACAATATTGATAGGGTGTCCATTAAATATACGTATATATATATATTGTGAAAGCCCAGCTTAGGCACCTTTGTATAGCCCAGTTTAGACCCATTACGCGTTGGCTTAAGCTAATCTGTGAATAGAATCGAGCAGTCTGGTTGAATCACTTCCATTTTCTAAAAAACAAAATTGTCCCAGCCATTCCAAAATGAGATATATCTAAAGGAAAACAACAAGAAATACTTAACCCGCCTAAGCGAATATATTTGATAGCCCTGTATACTTTTTTAGGCGTGTTTGTAATATAGCTTATGGAATTCGCTATATTTACTTGAAAAACGAAAGAAAACGCCTTCATTCCATTTGTAGTTATAGTTTGCATTGATCTCTAAAGTAAAGTGGAAGAAAATATGTATAATTGAATTGGCTTCAGATTTTTTGTGTTAATGTTTTATTTATTGATTTTCACTTAATGTTTGTTTCTGTGTTGTATGTATGTATAAACGTGTGTGTGTGTGAAAGTAAAACAATTATTATATTATATATAAATTATTAACTAATTTCAAATCGATGCAGTAGACGTAGACTTAACTGTAAATTATGCATTTCTGTGTGAGCTTTGTTTTTATTTTGCTAATTAAATATTAAACAAATACAAATGACATAATTATTATATATGGGTTTGCGGCTACAATTCAAATCAATGTATTATGTGCTACAAAATTATATAATACAATAGATAATGTAATGTGTAATATATATGCGCAGAGTATAATAAAAAATATGTTATATATATAGTAATTGAAGGAAAAAAAAAAACAATTTACGTTTATTTGAACCAAGTTTGCTGCAATACAATTTTGCGTTAGACTTATCAATTAAGTTTCGGGGGACGGGGCAGCGGCATATATAATTAGATTCATGTTTCTTTCTAGGAGACTTGCTGCGAGACGTAATGGAGTACATGAAACCTGCTTAAGGAAGCTCATTGGGAGATGCATCTCAGTAAGACGCCCTCTCAGTAAGTAGGACTCTGCTATTGGACGCTACAGGAAGCCTCGTCAGATGTGTGTGCTTGTGTTAATAGATGTTGATGCAATAATAATTATATACGTATTTATAAATATCTAGTCAGGATTTGTTGTTTCTTCTTTTGGATTGGGAGTGGCGAGCGAGGTGCATAGGGTGTATTTAGATAGCACTATGGCAGTAATAGTACATATTAATTAGCAATATATTTATGTATATGTATTCTAGTCCTAATAAATAGTGTGTACGTTTTCATTATAAATGTGAATGCAATGTTAATGTTATAATCATCAGCTTCAATCGCTTCAACTTCATCTAAATGTTCAACAGTTTCATAATCGATGCCTTAACATAAAGGAAAAACGCTAACAGATCCAAAAATATGTTGATGATGCTCTCTATCCTTTACGATATTTTGCACTAACAGTTTTCTTTGTGTTTTTTAAATATTTTCTCATTGTTCTTTAAAGAATTACTATGCTATATGTATATATATATGTATAATTAGGTAATGACAGTTGCCGTATCAAAGCTCAGAATGCCAGCCATGGATGATGCAGCAGCGATTCCTTGGAACGATCGCCATAGTCATAAGTCAGTTCCTCGCCGATCTCAATGTCGTCCTTGGCCAGAAGCACCAGATGTGGCCGTTGCTTGATAACAACCACCTTGGTCACAAGATTACCGTTGCGCGAGTGATTGATGAGGCGGCCCAGCTTGCCGGTGTCAATGGTGGCATCGATGCAGTACTGCTGGTTCTTATGCTTAAAGTAGTACATGTAGCAGCCAGCATTCTCGTCGAGCGCATAGCGGCGCTCGCGCTCGGTGGCCTCGCTGATCGAAATGAGATCACCCACATATTCGACGACGAACTCGTTACGCTTGAAGCGACGTATTGCGACAACGCCGCGCCCCTTGCCCATAAAATGGCGTACCTGTAGACCATCGCAGCGCTCCTCGAGCACAGCCTGCTCCAGATTACGCATCATTTCCTCTTTGACGGCTGTTTTGGTTTTGCGCACGCTACGTCGCACCGGAAAGAACTCAGTCATCTCGCGGTTGCCGTTGGTAGCTGCCAGGGGCACGGATTTGGCTGCCATTGTTTTGGCCTTAGCTGGTTTGGTAGATGATGCCTTTGGTTTGGCTGCTGCTGTCGCTGTGACGGCAGCCGATTTGAGCATTGCCTTGGTTTTGTTCAGATTTTCACGCTCCTCCGCAGCCTTGAGCAGAGCGTGCACATCATCCTCCTCGTCCTCATCGTCCACCAAAACTACATCTTCATTAGAGATGTGGTTGTGCTGCTGTTGCTGCTGCTGCTGTTGGTAAGGCGCTTGTGGCTTTGGCTGATTCAGTCTTCGTCGCGACTTTGACGCGCCGCTTGCGGCCAGCTGCATTTGTAATTTGCGCGGCGACTTTCGAGGCGACAGAGTCTCGCCCTTCACTAACGCCGTATCGCGAGGCATTGTCTTGATGGGCGAGGGGCACAATATGCGGTGTGGCGTAGCGGGTTTGCGTCGTCTGTTGGCCGCCACCGCAGGCGATGTGCCTGTCGTCAGGCTGCAGGCGACTCCACTGTCGCAGGAACTGCTGTCATGTTGGTCCAACTCGTAGCCGCCCAGCGGCTGTTGCATCTGATGCTGTTTTTGTTCGTGCTCTACCTCCTCCCCGTGCCCGTGCCCGTGCCCATTCAGCGTAACAATTTGATTGAAGCGACCGTTGAGCACGCAAGCACTCAGCACAGAAGGCGGCGATGAGAACACGGCATTGGCCAGCTCAAAGCTTTTGTTAATGCGAATGCTGGAGGCCTTGGTGGGCGTGCGATCAATGTCCAGCGTCAGCACCGGCTCCTGCAGAAATATATTATCGGAAGTGGCAGCGCTGCTGCTGCTATGTGACGAGCTGTGACTGTCACGCAGCGCCGAGCGATGCGTCTGAAAGGCAGTCGTGTTCGTAGGTGACTCGGCTCGTTGCTCTGTCTGTGTGTGTGTATCTGTTGGTATGCCTGTCTCTGTCTGTGTGTGTGCGTCTATTTGAATGTGTGTGTCTATGTCTGTGGGCGTGTAATTACAGCCCGGGTCATAGCTGTTTTCAACCTCAAGATCATCGTTTTGATATGCTGGAGAGCTGGTGCTGGTCGAGGGCGAGGCTATGGAGTGTTGATCGTACAGGAGCAGCTCCTCCTCCTCATCCACTTCCAGTTCATCTATTAAAGTTATTGTCTTTTTCTCTGCTATTGTTTCTTTGCCAACACTTGTCTCTGATAAAGCTCCATTTTTTTTCTTGTTTTTTGCAGCTGCACTTGCTTTAAAAAAGTTCTCAATCGTCCGTGTTTGAGAGCGCGTTGCCAATTGAACACCTATGGGAGAGAAGGCAGGGGAAGTGAAGGGGGCTGAGTGTAAGTGTGCTGAAAATTAACCTCAAATAACTTACCAATTATACGGTCAGTTTCAGACTTGGTTGAGTTACCGCCATTGGCCTTGCCGTTTTTGTCTTTGCTGAGATTTTCGTGTGCCTTCATGAGGCGACAGTCTTTTCGCTTGGGGCTCGCAAAATATTGATCATCCAGTAGATTATTGGTTGCTGCCGCGGCCACTGCGCTGATTGGCTCGCCATTGAATGGCAGGGCCAGCGCTGAATCGGAATTTGATGCGACCCTGTCAGAGGTAACCACCACTAGGGCTGCCTCCTTGACGGGCCGTGCGCGTCTGCGAACCATTATCATTTAGGGCTTAGATTCCGTTTGGGTTGCCACACAAAACGCAGGGGATGGGTGGGAATTCGTCGAGTTAATAAATTACGCTAAGGCAAGTCCGTAGCAGCGCACGCACACTAAGATACAGAAACGGAAAACAGACTGCAATTTGCATAAGTAGAAACAAAACGAGACATTAAACTTTTGTACATTATTCGGTCGCCGCGCTGCGCCTTCCTGCTCCCACACTCGCACTTGCATACACACTCACACACAAACTAACACACACACAAGCGCACACAAGAAGACAACACAACACAGAGCGCGTACAGTTTTTGCCCCTCGACAAAAATATCGTTCTGCTGTGTGTTACTGCTGTTGCTTGTGTCGCACGAAGCGAAGAGGAAGACAGCGAAAGAATGATATGAAGCAGCCTGCTCGTTGCGCCAGTGAGGCTGAGCTAGAGGCAGAGGCCTACCTATTTAGATAGATGAAAACTTATTATAGCCGTCATACGCAGTAGCGCATGTTTTTCGTTTTACACTGTTCGTTTGTGCACATTGCTATCTATTATGCCGCCTTCTCGTATTATTTTTAGTCAGTCATATGCACTTTTCCTTTTCCGCAAACTTTTTTTGTGTGTGGTTCTTTTATTCCGTTTTGCAGTAGAGTTTTTGATGTCTTATCGATATATAGGAGCATCGATATCTCCATAGATCAAGAGAGAAGTTGACAACAGAGTGTTTATTATGATATTTACTCCATATATAATCCATTATGTCGAAACAGTTATTGTGAGGCGTTTAAGAGTCGCTAAATAGAATAATGCAATGCTGAAAAAATGGAAATTAGCGAACTCAATCATATTTTATTTTAAGTTTGCGTTTTCCAGCACTTAGCGAAAGTCGCGCGCAAACTATCGGTAGATGGAGTCAATGCTTGTGCTTGTTTACATACTATTTATCGATAGTAACAGACCGAAGTGCCATTAGCATCTCAAACGCCAAGCGAAATTCGCGAGGCGCGCGTGAAAATTATATTTTTAAGGAAAATAACTGTTAATATAGTACCAACGCCTATAAATGCGAGTGTAAAGAGCAGCAAGAGTGGCATACTGCAGTTGTTAATTGAATTCATATAATAACGTGCATCATAATAACGGCTATTTTTGACTGCTTGCAATAAAATTGGGCGCCTTTATTGGCAAGTGTCTGTGCTTCTCTCAGACTGTGGCTTCTGCAGTGCTCCTTTGCGCGCGTTTACAAAGTTTTGCCCACGAGTATAGTAACAAATTTAACGAGCTCTGCAAGAAATAAGCAAATATGCCGATTTGCAAACGCGACGGTTTCGATCTCAATCAAACAGAGGGCAAAAATGAAACATTCCACGACAACGACTTGGTCTTCTGCTGCTATATTACCAAACGCATATTCCGTGATTATGAGTAAGTCTCGAATGCCTTGGCTCCAATTTGTATTTGCCTTTTATCAAAAGCTGTATGCTGTATGCTGCAGCAGGATAGCCATGACAAAGCAAACCACGCGCTAAAGTATACAACAAAGAGTAGCTGATGAACGCATGCTTCGACCAAGCGATACATGCAAAGGCAGAG